GTGTGTTTCCTATAGAACTGATATAGCTTGTTACATTGTCTTCCTTGTACGGATATTTATAACCATGTATCATAGTGGTGATGATGATAGGGCAGAGTGGTGGTGATCGGACATGGTGGTGATAATAGGGCAGAGTGGTGGTGATCGAACATGGTGATGATGATAGGGCAGAGTGGTGGTGATCGGACATGGTGGTGATGATAGGGCAGAGTGATGGTGATCGAACATGGTGGTGATGATAGGGCAGAGTGGTGGTGATCGGACATGGTGGTGATGATAGGGCAGAGTGGTGGTGATCGAACATGGTGGTGATGATAGGGCAGAGTGGTGGTGATCGGACATGGTGGTGAATCGGACATGGTGGTGATGATAAAGGGGAGAGGGGTGGTGATCGGAAAATGGTGGTGATGATAGGGCAGAGTGGTGGTGATCGGACATGGTGGTGATGATAGGGCAGAGTGGTGGTGATCGGACATGGTGGTGATGATAGGGCAGAGTGGTGGTGATCGGACATGGTGGTGATGATAGGGCAGAGTGGTGGTGATCGAACATGGTGGTGATGATAGGGCAGAGTGGTGGTGATCGGACATGGTGGTGATGATAGGGCAGAGTGGTGGTGATCGGACATGGTGGTGATGATAAAGCAGAGTACTGGTGATCGGACATGGTGGGGGTAGAAAGGGGAAGTGGTGGTGATCGGACATGGTGGTGAAAATAGGGCAGAGTGGTGGTGATGGGGCATGGTGGTGATGAATAGGGCAGAGTGGTGGTGATCGGACATTTGGGTTTGGTGATGATAGGGCAGAGTGGGTGATCGAACATGGTGGTGATGATAGGGCAGAGTGGTGGTGATCGGACATGGTGGTGATCGGACATGGTGGTGATGATAGGGCAGAGTGGTGGTGATCGGACATGGTGGTGATGATAGGGCAGAGTGGTGGTGATCGGACATGGTGGTGATGATAGGGGAAAAGTGGGGTGATCGGGCATGGTGGTGATGATAGGGCAGAGGGTGGTGAATGGGACATGGTGGTGTGATAGGGCGAGTGGTGGGATGGGACATGGTGGTGATGATAGGGCGGATGGTGGTGATGGGACATGGTGGTGATGATAGGGCAGAGTGGTGGTGATGGGACAGGTGGTGATGATAGGGCAGAGTGGTGGGGGATGGGACATGGTGGTGATGATAAGGGCAGAGTGGTGGTGATGGGACATGGTGGTGATGATAGGGCGGAGTGGTGATGGGACATGGTGGTGATGATAGGGCAGAGTGGTGGTGATGGGACATGGTGGTGATGATAGGGCCGGAGGTGATGGGACATGGGGGTGATGATAGGCAGAGTGGTGGTGATGGGACATGGTGGTGATGAAGGGCAGAGTGGTGGTGATGGGACATGGTGGTGATGATAGGGCAGAGTGGTGGTGATCGGACATGGTGGTGATGATAGGGCAGAGTGGTGGTGATGGGACATGGTGGTAATGATAGGGCAGAGTGGTGGTGATGGGACATGGTGGTGATGATAGGGCCCGAGTTTGGGGGTGATGGGACAAGGTGGTGATGATAGGGCAGAGTGGTGGTGATGGGACATGGTGGTGATGATAGGGCAGAGTGGTGGTGATGGGACATGGTGGTGATGATAGGGCGGAGTGGTGATGGGACATGGTGGTAATGATAGGGCAGAGTGGTGGTGATGGGACATGGTGGTGATGATAGGGCGGAGTGGTGATGGGACATGGTGGTAATGATAGGGTAGAGTGGTGGTGATGGGGCATGGTGGTGTTGATAGGCCGGAGTGGTGATGGGACTTGGGGGTGATGATAGGGGAAATTGGTGGTGATGGGACATGGTGGTGATGATAGGGCGGAGTGGTGATGGGACATGGTGGTGATGATAGGGCAGAGTGGTGGTGATGGGACATGGTGGGATGATAGGGCGAGTGTGATGGACATGGTGGTAATGATAGGGCAGAGTGGTGGTGATGGGACATGGTGGTGATGATAGGGCAGAGTGGTGGTGATGGGACATGGTGGTGATGATAGGGCGGAGTGGTGATGGGACATGGTGGTAATGATACGGCAGAAATGGTGGTTGATGGGACAAGGTGGTGATGTGGGCAGAGTGGTGGGGATGGGGGCATGGTGGTGATGATAGGGCAGAGTGGTGGTGATCGGACATGGTGGTGATGATAGGGCGGAGTGGTGATGGGACATGGTGGTGATGATACGGCAGAGTGGTGGTGATGGGACACACTGGTGTGAGAGATAGTGGCAGTGACGTGGTGGTGTGAGTTAGTAGTGATGATTGAAGAGTTATGATAGCCACTTGTTGGTGGAGCAGTAGTAGTGTTGCCAGGGGCATCACACTTACCACACACTTAACACACCACTTCCTGCACACTAAACGCCACACTTCCTGCCCTCCCCCCTCTTACCCACCACACCTTCCCATCCCTCACCGCCCGCTCTCCTTACAGGTTTAGCGTAGGTAACGTATTACCTAACCAGATAATACGTAACCTGCGCGTATGTCACAGCAGGCTGGTATACTCTTACTAAAAAAGAAGTCGGACAACCAACACTGTAATCATGGTGAACGTGGGTTTTTGCACGTTCTGTAAATCGCTGCCTTCTCCAAAACTCTTTCTTTTATGTAGGATCTAGAGTTCTCCCATCCCTCATTCCCTCACTGTGGTAATACCAGTAAACTCAAATGTACCGGAATTATATATTGATATAGTGTTGCTTGAAGGGTGAAGTGAATGTAACAGGCGTATTGAACACCTTACTTTCTTCATGCAATAATTTGTGTTGTATGTAGAAAGTTAAGAGTAATCTCTTTGGTGTTTGGAGTTGACTGGTCAGGGAGGGTTACTCTGAATCATGACGGCTGCATGTGCGGACTGACCACATAATCTTTACCTCTTCACTGCTGTGGTCTCCATATTAACAACCTCTCGGTTCGACTGATGAAACTTGCTGTGAAAGCGAAGCATTTCTGAATAAAGATACGTAACTTACACCTGTCTTACGTATCTACTTGCCGGTATTGTATACCATTATTATATTCACATGAGAACTGCACACACACACACACACACACACACACACACACACACACACACACACACACACACACACACACACACACACACACACACTCATTCACCGTAAGTTTCAAGTCAAAACTACCTAGCATTTTCAATATATCTTGCGGAAACAAAGCGAAGGAAACCACGAAACAAGGACAAACAGAGAGCGGTCGCTGTGGCTATGACCTCCACAGCACTCAACAAATAGCTGGATCACATACCCGGAATAACAAATAATTGTCACAATAATTAATAAAGAAAAATACATAGTGTCAGGAAATTCCTCGACCCCGGAAGAGAAAATGAAGATAGCATAAACGCTTACCCTGACAATTACTATATTGGTCGTAATGAAATGTGGTGGTGGTGGTTTTGTACGTCAGGAAATAACAGTGTGTCTCCTCTCACGGGTCTTGAAAAATGGAATGGAGGTGATGTTATTCTCTGTAGAGAAAATACTAGAGATGTATTACTTACACCACACCTTTGCTAGTTTTTCTTCGGTGTTAGAAGCTTGATTGAGTCATCGTCTCAGTGTTGTGACCGTGTTAGATATTTACGTCATCTTAGTTTTTTTCCCTCTGTCGAAGTTATAGAGATACGTCACTCTTAACAGAACTGTATTTGTTACCTTTGTTTTCAAGTGTAGCGCTTGGCCTCTTAAAAACACTGTAGAACGTATTATCTGATTTCTTTTTTGTCACCTGTCACAGGTGCGCAGTAAAAGATTACACTTGACACAGATGATTGTGTGTGTTTGTGTGTATATGTGTATGCATGCGGGCGTGCATATGTATGTATGTATGCTGAACAACCCATCAAGGGAATTATATCAGCAATATCATTATTTTTGATAACTTATTGGAACATGTGTGTGTGTGTGTGTGTGTGTGTGTGTGTGTGTGTGTGTGTGTGTGTGTGTGTGTGTGTGTGTTGTGTGTAATGTTGTGCCGAATAAGTAAAACTTGCGATTTTGGCTTAAATAGTAAAGCACTTCTTACCCAATAGGACAAGCGAAAATTTGTGTATGCAATAATTTGGCAAAAAAATCATTGTGAATCTAACGAAAAAAATATATTTCAGTGTGTTTGTTATTAAATTATTGAAAACTTATATAAAATGTATTTAGTTGGATTACGCTGAATTAAACTGCGCTTTTATAAGGTTAGGTAAGTTTTCTAAGGTTCTTTTGGTACAAAATCATTAATTACAGGGTGTCCACAGAAACACTCCCTGATTTCAAACAGGTATAACGTTTAAAGGCACTCAATGTGCGTCCCTCTGGTTGCTCGGCAAACATCGGTGCGATAATCCAGTTCAGGGTCCAGACGCTCTGCAGCATATCTGGTGTTATGCAAACTGATTCAGTGATCGAAACTTTCAGCTCCTCCAGGGTTGTAGGTAGTGCTGGTACGTAAACTGTGCTCTTCACGTATCCCCAAAGAAAGAAGTCACAAATAGGTCTGGTGACTTCGCAGGTTACTTGCAGAGGTCACCGGACCTGTGACTTCTTTCTTTCTTTGGGGGTACGTGAAGAGCACAGTTTACGTACCACCACTACCTGCAACCCTGGAGGAGCTGAAAATTTCGATCACTGAAGCAGTTCGCATGATAACACCAAATATGCTGCAGAGCATCTGGACCGAACTGGACTATCATATCGATGTTTACCGAGCAACCAGAGGGACGCTCATTGAGTGCCTTTAATGCTACCCTATACCACATGAAACTAAATGAAATCCTGCATCTGAAGCTACTGTGAAAGATTATTACAATAAAGTTACATGTTATGCCTGTTTGAAATCAGGGAATGTTTTTGTGGACACCCTAATTCATAATGTGCTTTGCCTCATAAAAAAAAATATATATATACATATTTCTTTACTAACTCTGGAGTATTTTTTGTTACAGGTGGAAGTGGTGGTGGTGGAAGCAGTGGTAGCGTGCCCGTGAAGCGAGGACGTGGTCGCCCTCGCCTGCTGCCCCTGGGCCCTGGTCATCAGGGCACCCGCACCCCTCCTGCACTGCCCCTAGCTCTAGGCACTGCCCTCAACACGCCCAAGCCAGATGAAAACGCCCAAAAGCCCTTTGGGTTCTACACGTGAAGAGGTGGCATTCATTGCCCCTAGCTCTTATCACACAGCATCTTAATAAACTCCTTCCAGGGCCCAGCACATAGTTGAAGTGTCATTGTGTGAGCAACCCGCTCGCCTTATGTCTGGACATTGTTTGTGAGGCTCAGCTTACATCTGCAAGTGTGGGAGCCTCGGGATGGTTGAGGGCACGTCCTAGCAAACTTGACCTATTTCAATCTCAGCTTTATGTGAGGGTCGCTCGATGCGAGTTTGTTTCAAAACAGTGGAACTACTGTTTATCAGGGAAATTCCACCTTAGTCTGTCGGGAAGGTTCACCTTAGTTTATCGGGGAAGGTTCACCTCAGTCTATTGGGAGGTCTATGTTTAACTTTAGCTTAAGTAAACCATCATTCTCAATCCAGTCTTTATGTTAACTGATGACATCTTCCATTTGATATAATTTAAAAGACACTTCATATGCATTTCTTGACAGTATCTATAATTTTAACCTCCTAGGAATTTGTTTTAAATTGGGACAGTTTTTTCATTTTGTGATACTGTGGTGAGGGGCCCCGCCCAGACAGATACCAGATAGCTCAAGTGGTAGCGTTGGTGGTGCTGAGAGTTGTGGGTGAATGTGACGATCATACACCATATTTGCAATTCATATAGTGTATATACACCGGAAAGTGTGTATATCTTGTATATACACCGAGAGGTTCGTGTTTGTGTAGATTCACATACAGTTGTGTATCCACAAAGTCACGCATCATATGAGAAAAACGTTAAATAACATAACGACAAGAATTAAATACAGTAACTCTCTATGATGCGTCGATGTGTGTGTACACACAGTATGTTTATATACATACAGTTTACTGCAGTCCCTATTGCAGGGTATAAATTTTTATGAATTTCAGTCTACTGGTGGAATACTGCCTTAATGACCCACGCGCACTCGATGACTATTAAACTTTACAAACTAAAGGTAGTCAGCTGATTATGGCCGCTGTTCTGGTATGTGGTAGTTTTGGTGTGAGGTGTAGCGATACACCCCTCCCGCTTGTGGGGCGCACCTCCTCTTGCTCAATAACGTTAACACGCGGCGCCTTAAACTTCCAAAAAAAAAAAAAAAGGCCCAGACACATACAGGAATGCAATTTGATTATAGAAAAAGGGTAAGAACGAGCTTATGTTGCGCTTATAGGCAGACTTGTTTGACACACGAAACAGCAGAGTTGAACTGGTGCACCAGCGGTACAGGTAAGTTCCTAGGCTAACACCGGGAACTCTAAAACTTATCATGATAGTATCCAGGTCTTTTGGACTCACTTGTTGTACGAAGATGAGTGTAGTGTTTTATCATTTTAAGTATTATAACAAACGGGTGTGTCGTTAAGAACGGTGCACCCCAAACAACATTAAGTTTGGGGATTTCAACCCTGGGCGAGGTAGTGATCTGGTGACTCCTGAGCCGGAGGATTGCTTGCTTGGTGGCCCACTTGGTGTTAATTCGTTTACTGGACTTCACCTGTGGCAGTCTTGTCACTCTGGATCAACGTGGTCTTTGTATGGCTCAAAAAATTATTTCAGCTCTCCAAATTTGATCCTCAGCCCGAGGAGTGGAGTCGTTCCTAGCAGGTGTAAACAAGATTAGTGTTAGCGTTAAGTGTTTGCATTAGAAGTTCTAACAGAGGAAACTTATTAGTTAATGTAAAACTAATATTTATAAGTTAATTTATTTGTTAATTTTAAACATTCAGCTAACTAAAAGGGTGTTCCAAATACCATAGAGTTTTCAGGATTTGCTGGACAGAGACATTTATATGTCATGTCATTTTTTATTACCATTACTGTGAAAAATATAATTTTTCCACCAATATATGTAAATCAAGACTGTAATAGATAAATTGTTGAACGCCTGTTGTGTTATTTACCCTCCGTGTGGAAGATACCGTCACTAACAGCCGTCACTAACCGGCCCCCAGTGAGCCTCCACCTACAAATGAGCTGACGCACATGGCTTCAGACAGTATGTTGATCTGTGTTCTTATGTTGGCAGACTATTCTGATAGTTTGTCTCCTTATGTTGCCACTGTGTTGACAGTTGTTGATCTGTCTCGTCATGTTGATAGGCAGTATGTTGATGATATGTCTCTTCGTGTTGACAGGCAGTATGTTGATCAGTCTCGTCATGATGACTGTTGTTAATCTTGTCACGTTGACAGGATATTGATCTGTCTTACGTTGACGGTATGCTGTTGATTTGTTTTGTCATGTTGACAGTATGTTGTTGGTTTGCCTTGTCATTTAGTGTTATACCTCTCCCTGTCTTTAAAGCATTCTGTAACTTTACGAAGATAGAGGCGAATACACATTTGCTTCATACACGACATCCATGGTCTCCTCAAGAAAAATTCCTTGATGCAGGTGAGGGGTCTCTTGATCTAAGGGATTTGACCTGTGCTCCAATCTCTTGAATCAAGCCTAAATGCCTTCCATTACCCTTGTTGGGAGACACATGTTCTTTCCTGACGAATGAAATCACAACAGTCTCCCAGGCGCTGTATCACCCCTACGGATCTAACAATCCCTCTCATTCCCCATGAATGTAAGAATAACAACATTAATGGTGTTAGAATATTGTGAAAATACAGGCTGTTGGTGAGGAAGCTTAGGTAAGTGCAAAGGAAACCTTGGCAAACTAAATGGAGTTTTAGAAAGGAACAGGAACTTTAAATAAGGAGCTGGGCAATGTAGGTAAAGAACGGAGAGTTTCAGGTAAGGAGCAGGAAATTTTAAGTAAGGAGTGAGGAGTTTTAAGTAAGGAGTGGGGAATTTTAGGTAAGGATTGAAGGAGATGAATCAAGGAACGAAATGAGACAAAGAATGAGGGAGATGAAATAAAGAGGGTGGAGGTGAAGTTAATTAAGATAAAATAAAGAGGAGTGAGGTGAAAATAGGTAGGTATAATGTTTGTCAGGAAACAGGACAAGTGTTTCCTGACGCGGGCCTTAGTCATATGATGACCCACAGCTGGAGCTTTTGGTCATCTGACCAGTGACTTCCGCTGGCTTATCGGTCCACTTCTTTCAAAGTCCTGGTTATGATTATAACCATGTTTAGTCCATAAGGATAGGGGTAGTAAGAAATGATGGGTGACCAACGAGAGTAAGGAAGGCCCTGATGGAGGGTGAAGGGTAGAGTGTGGATAGGAGTAAAAGGGTGGAAGGAAGTTAGGTTGGGTGAGTGGAAGGGAGGGGAAGGAAGGGTGGAAGAAAGGGGGGAAGTGTCGTCAGGTGCAGCAGTTTCGAGGGCTTGAGATACCCCAGGGCATCCTTAGTGCCCTCGGGGTATGCGAGGTGCACACGTTAACCCTCCTCCTCCCTCTCCTCTTCCTCCTTCCTCTAGTCATCCTCTTCCTCCGTCTCCCTTTCCTCTTCTTCCTTTGCCTTTTCTCCCTCCTCTCCTCATATTCCCCCCTTTCTTCTCCTAACCACAACCATTTGCATCATCCACCATCCAGATGGGTATCCGTCGTCAGCTTCCTGGCTGATGAGGAATACCCTGGATGGTGGATGTTGCATTAGGAACATCCACCTATCTGAGATGCTCTCAATCAGTACTGTCCTTTACTATCATCATGCCTATTTTTATTTTGTAATTGTTATTTAGTATCTAACAAATTCGAACTGAACCTGACAGCCACGAGAACATACAAAAATTATGTATTTTTCATTCATAAGTACTCTTTTATTTATATCACCTAACGTAGTTTGGGTTAGGAACCCCTTAAGGGAGGTTCCTCGATTTGGTGAGGGGCTCGAGGAATAAGACTTGGATCGAACCTGATTGCCTCCCATTTCCCAGGACCTGTATTATCCCCTAAGGGCTTACTGCTTACTACTTCTCCACGAATATAATATAAACATAATATTCCTCGCTTGCAGAATAAGCCATGAGAAGGCACTTTACTCTTTCCTGATGAAGGCAGCACCCCGTCACCACACTGTATATGCTCTCACATATACAGTATAACCTAGACTGGTTGTATTTACATTCATTAAATATAGTAATAATCATAGTGTAATACTGTCACCTTATGGCGTGGAGGCCTTGCATGGCTGTGTACTGGAGACACGAGCCCTGCATCGAGGAGAGTGGGCGGAGACTGAGAGATAATTAGGTCTCATGTTCCGTGCATTTGGTCCCCCTCCCCGCGGTCTAGACCGTGACATTGCCTCATTCACGCCCTACATTGATATTCTAAATGACTTCCTGCCATACACCCACACAGCAAACATTCATTCTCAAGGACACACCACCTTCAATATTTCATAACGGTGAGAAATGAGCAAAATTATGCAGATTGTTGTTTCGCTGCCTCTCAGAAGATGTCGGCGGAACAATGAAAGAAGATATGTTTACAATGGAGTCTTCGCCGGAATCTGAGAGGTAAGGAAGTTGATATCCTGTCTTCCCTGTATTTTTTCATAAACGAAACAACTTACTAGCAACAATGTATGATTTAATTAATACCCGAAACACAGGATGATGATGATGATTCTTTTTCTGCTTCTTTTCTTTTCTTTTTCTTCTGCTGCTTTTTCTTCTTCTTTCTTTTTCTTCTTCTTCTTCTTCTTCTTCTTCTTCTTTTCTTCTCTTCTTCTTCAGTTCGAACATTCCAGTTTTGAAAGTTTAACACCAACCAGAAGCAGCATTACCCAGCTATCGCACAGACATTACAACCAGAAAACATCAACAATTTACGTCTGAAGCCCCTCAGAAGTTGTATTTTCAGGTTATTAGCATTAAGGGTTTGAAGCCTGTCTGACGAGGCATTCACAATTCACATGATAACCTGTATTTTATTTTTTTCAAATTTCTTCAATATAATTATTTAATTAACATCTACACACTCCAAAATCATTCCAGTTTTTTTTATTTTAGTAAGATATAATGAAGCATTGATGATTTGAAACCGATCTTAAGAAGTATTCATCAGTTTTGTCCCTCTTTGATAGAACCTGATTGCCTTTCATTTCTCTGGTGTTGTGTGACCCATACGGGTTTGGCACTGACTGCTCACCCCTAAATATAACTAATAACAACAATTACAGTAATAATAATAACTTCATGGAAACCAATTTATTTAATAAAATTTTCAAATTTATAAATCACACACTACAGGTTTAGCGCTTCCCCTTGATGATGATAATAGTAATAATAATACAAATTACGCAACCCAAATCAATGCGCAGCTTAGGTGTGAAAAATATAACACCAGCGCTAAAAGTTTCGAATCGACCAGATGATGCATTCTCAGTTATCACATAGAATTCATCTATTGCAAGTTTATTAATTATTTTAGTAAATTGTCAAATTTACACCTACTCGACCAGACCCGCCCGTCACGTGAGGTTCCTTGATGCTCGTGAGTTGTTCTTCATCTAGGGAACTGGTTCTGTGTTCCAGTTCCCTGAATTAAGCCTGAATGCCTTACATTTCCCCCCCATCCACAGGCTCTGCATAATCCCTACGGGTTTAGGATTCCCCTATAATAATCGGGCGATACCCGACAAACATCATCCCTGTCATAAGATGCATCATACCATTAAAGGTGAAAGACGTTGAGAAAGGTACACAGTATACAAGTTATTTCACGGAAAAAAATCACCATACCATTTTAAAATTAAAACTGACAAATTGGCACACGTTAAGAATAATCTTGTTTTAAGTATGACAAACCCTCTCCACTAACCCCTAGCTTGGCACAACCCCAACTAACCCCACCCCACTACCCATACTGCCTCAGCCTCTTGTATACCCCTGACCCTCGCTGTTACATCTTCAACACATCCTGTCCTGCAACGCTGTATGACCCTTGTGGATTTAGCGCTTAGTTTAATTAATAATACGTACACTCTTGAGTACATTCCTACTTTTGCATATACCTTCCCGCAGCGCTGTATGGGCCTCACCGGTTTAGCGCTAAAGTTGATTATTATATCAATTCTAAGTAGGATTAACAGATATTGAAAGTTTGAAGCCAGTCAGAAGCTTTCTTAAAGCGCACGGAATAAAAAAAATTACTTCGAGACCAAGCATATGCCAATAGTTGTGATCCTTTCCCTAGCTGCATTACACCAGCGTTGAAAATTTGAAGCCGATCGGACAAGGTGTTCTGAAGTTATAAATGAAAACCTTGAAGTGAGGCCGCTTAAGTATTTTTTCGGGAATGCTTAATTATTGTTTCTATTTTAAGAATGTTCAGTCATAGAACTAAACTAAGACTTGTCTTTGTGGTGAGTGACCAGATATGTGGTTGTGTGCAAAGTGTCCATACATATATATCGGTATGATCACAGTCACCAGGCTGTGTGGGAAGTCACCACACTGGCTGTGTTGTGATTGCTATTATAAATGTTATACAAAAGAGATTAGCAGATGAATAAGAGACATGTGCAACACTTGGGTATCTTTACTATGGAGACGTTTCATCAACTAGTAATTTCATTAATCCAGTACAGAGAATAATAACTGGAGACGGTGGAAGACGTGAAGTAATAGTTTGAGGTGATCAGTTCCTTAACCTTGATAAATTTAAGGTAGATGCCGGAGGATGGAGACTGGTATACAGGAAACAAGTAAGGTAAAGCTGTTTAGTGAGTGACCACACACACACGCGCTCCCATCCCTATCCTTCCCCGCGGTCACCACAACTCCGGAAGAGCACACAGATTTGCGACGCTAGAGTCTTTAACACCATCATCTGCGCCTCGCCTCTGCTCATTACTCTCGCGTCCACGTGAATGGCATTAGAGGTGCCCACAGCGGGCAGGGGCCCGGCCCAGGACCCAAACAATATAAACACAAACAAATGAAAGGGAGTTACCAGGAGGATTTATGGCAGAACAATGGGACCGAAGGCCAG